CTCAGTTATATGAAAGTTTTAACAATCCGAAATTGGTTTAGTGAACATTAAGATGAATATTTATAGGCATTAGACTCACCAACCATCACAGTAATATTTTTGATACAACGTATACTTCTAAATACTTCACATTTTATGCTCCAAGTCTTCAGAAAAGGTTTTTAGATATCATGAATTTGCAGAAACTTCCATTCCCCTTACTTAAAGCAACATTTATTTGTAATTTCTACCAAAGTCAGCTCACAGTTCAAATTTTTATCCCACCTAACGGTTTGCAGATTTGTCCGAATGAAACTGAAGGCGAAATTTCTAAGCGGTTCCCATGAAAGGAGAAACGGGCTTCCTGTGGAAGGTTTGTGGCGTTTTGTAGTTCTGACAAATTTTACTACAACCATGACAATAAAGTTGTTCTGGTGCTGAAAGAAACCTCAAACCGTTGGCCATGAAAATTACATTTAAGGCTATAGTTTCCCTTCATGGTGAAAGTGACCTTCAACCTAATTTTTTATTTGTCTGATAAAATCCTATGATGTCATTTTTTCGGTTAGAAAATAAGAGAAACTAATAGTTTTTAATTAATTATAATATATTCAGCTGAATCTTTCTATAACCGACTGATATATATATGTCTGCATTAAATTTGGATATTTGTTGTGAATCTTTTCTTTTAAAACAATGACAGAAGCTAAAAGTCGTTTCCATCATTTATCCTGGTTTAGCTGCTTACATCAAACCAACATTTTCTGTGTAATCTCACCAGGTTTGATGGCGTGGCCACGGAGGCGGGTGCGACTGGTTTGGTTACCACGGGAACCTGACTGTTGCTTTTCAGAGGTTTCCCTGCTGGCTGAGTGGACGACATCACTGCCTCGCCTTCCTGCGAGGGCGCCGCCGCTCTGCTCGGTTTACCTGCGGCGAATCCACAGTCAGGCGGTCAGATGACATTATGAAAGGCATGAGAAGTTTCACACGCACACTTCCGCCTTCACGCCACAGCGTGCCATCCATTAAAGGTTTCGGACGCAATAAAAAAAGGAAGTCATTAGGAATGGGTGATACTGGAGGAAGTAAAGTTGGTGTATATCTGGAATCACCTGCCGTGACGTGGTCCGGCGTGGGTTCGGCCTCTGATGCTGAGGGCTTTGGCGACTCTGGGCCGAGCTTCTCCTGAGGCGGCTGGATGGGAACGGCCATCAGGCTCAGGTCGATGGTTGGCTGCTTCGCTTTGGACTCAGCCTTCTCCTTCACTGCTGACAGACAAATGAAGCTTCTTCTACTGATCCTGATATTTATCTTTTAATTTTAACTCTAAAGCGCCTTGAGATGACACGTGTTGTGAATTAGCGCTATAGAAATAAACTGAATAGAATTGAAATGATCTTCGGATCCAGATGCAAATGCTCCAAGTTGGTTTTGCATGATTTTAGAGGAAGTTTAAACTCACAGATGAAACTTCTAATTTAAATAAAAAATTTAAATAATCTCTTGAACTATGCAATGTCATGAAGAAGTGGTAGCTTTTCGTTTCTTGCTGGACCTATTTTGACGTCAGACAAGGAAAACCTGAGGGATTTTATCCCACCGTTCTTTGCAGACCTGTTGAAATTCAGCCACGGTGAAAAGCTTTCCAGGATAACTGGGTATTTATGGCCAGGCTGCAGCATCTACATTAGATTTAAGCCCACACTCTAAACTAGGGGGACTCCAAAATCCTATTTTCTGTTTTCAAATGTGGGTTTAGTTCCAGGTTGCAAAATGGGATCTTTTTGCAGCCTGGAACTAAACAAACAAAGTCATTGAGCCTCTCTGAGGGAATATTCCCCTAATTTCCCAGAGGACTTCTGTGTTTCCATGTAAAAACACTAACTTCTGCCCAGGGATCCTCTTTAAACAGTCCAATAAAATATGCAAAGAAACATGAACTTCTTTTCATCCCTATACTCTGATTTTTACATTTGTTTAGCAGAAGAAGTGCATATTATCTAATTATCTTATTTAAAGAGTAAAAATACTCATTCCATTGGCAAATGATCTTAATCACCTACTCAAATTAAGGGTAAATACACTTTAAGAGATATTTTCTTATTTTTAGATGGCCTCTGAATGGCACATCTAACTGCTTTGGTTCTGTACCGTTTACCTCGCTCTACCTTCTGAGAGCTTTACTTCCTTAAAGGTATTGTGGAGGATTTTTTGTAACATTTTTTAAAGACCTGCCCTCTCCACTTAAAAAAAATACACATGCACAACCCTGTACCTGCTCCTGAGAGAGAATTAAACATGTGTAAGCGTGCACGAGCCCATTTCTCCTCGTGCACGCTCTGTTTAAAAATTGCTATTCTCATAGCTCATGCAAGCTGACTGCGCCTGCACGTCCGCCCTAACCCCTAAATCCCTCCATCACTGTATAGAGGGAGGACTATATCGCTCCAACTGAGCGTTCGGACAGACGGTCACTGCTTTTTGCTCCCTTGGTCACGAAACTCATCCTCCACCACTTTGTTATTAGTCGCTGCTGTCGGGTAGCAACAGTTTATGGCAGAGGTCATTGATTAGCGGACCCTGGTCTGGATCCAGATCCACCTGCTGGCTAATCCTGACCCAACCTGATTCAAAACATTTATAAATTACTGCAGGTGGTCCGACGACAGTGTCTAATTTCACTTGCGCCTCTTCTCCTGTTAATACGGTAAAGCCCTGGGGAAAGCGTCCGGCTCCAGGCTGCACGTGATCCAAATGAGCCAATGAGCTGTCAGTCTGGGTTGCTGCTGCTGCTACTTTTAGACACAGCAGGCAAACCTGTGGCAAGCCGGGCGATGGGAAAGAAGGAGAAGACCATGGGAAAAAGAGAGCAGAGAAAGTGTGGACTGCTGGAAGAACTGCGGTGAACGGGTGGAAGAAAAATGAAATGGCGTGCTTAAAGATGACCCTGCACATTTAGAGTATGTTTGG